GATGATGCAAAGATGTTTAAAATTATCAAATGTCCAGATGACTTGAAGTCCATGCAACTAAATGTGACCAATATGCAAAATTGGCTAAATGTCTGGCGTATGATTCCAAATGTAGATAAATGTTGCGTATTGAAGTTCGGAAATAAATATAATAATATTTATGAAATGTGGGATTCTGATAAAAGACTTAGGTGTGTTTGTTGATGATAAACTCACTTTTAGAGATCATATATATAGTAAAGCTAAGTTAGCCAACACAATGTTGGGCATAATAAACAGGCATTTTAGACTTATTGATGAAGAAGCTTACCTATGTTTCTACAAAGGCTTGGTCATACCACATCTAGAGTATGCGGTACAGGTTTGGTGCCCACATCACATAAACCTAATACAAATGATTGAAAAAGTTCAAAGAAGAGCTACTAGATCTATCCGTTCTTGTTATGGTTTAGAGTATATTGATAGATTAAAAAAATTGAACTTGCATTCTTTGAAATATCGAAGAACTAGAGCGGACCTGATTTTTTTTATATAAAATGTTGGTGGCCAATCCAGATACTGATCATTCGTTCATGTTGCTCAATAATGATGGGAGAACTAGAGGGCATCATATGAAGTTGTCAACAGGTTAATCTCACAAGGATGTTAGAAAATATTTTTTTTGTAACAGAGTAGTCGCGGACTGGAATAGACTCCCGCAATCTGTTGTCGACTCTCCAAATACAAGTGTTTTTAAATCTCGTTTGGATTTGTTTTGGGGTGATGCTAAATTTCAATATAGGTGATACTTTTAAACTGACGGTTCAATTGGATGTGTGTGTTGATAAGTAGGAATGGTTTGAGATTTTTAATCTATTAGTATGATTGAATAAGAATTTTCATGGATGGATGGGAGTGGATTAATGAGAGAATTACTTATGCAACATTTATAATACTCATTATTATGAGGTTAATGTAATAATTATTATATGGTAATAATATGAGCATAAATATAGGTAAAAATATGTACTTGTTTTATTTTTTATCAGTAATGACTGGGAATATGTATGATTGACTTGGATTGATTATTTCATTACCCATTTTATGGTTAAATGCATGTGCGTATTTCATTTATAAATTTTTTGGTTAATTATATTTTATATTGACTTCATAACTTTCTTATTATTATTATTATTGTTTTTCTGATTGTTTGGTTTTTTTTATTGATTGGTAAATAGTTAATGAAATTTCTAGGTTCTAATATAATTATCTGATATAATAATTAATGATTCATGAGTAGGTGGGTATATGAGTTGGTATATGGGTAGGGGAGGTTAAGGAAATTAGATGGATGCATGAATGTTTGTTTATTTTCTCTATTGCATGGGAAATGTGTAGTTAATTTTATGCTATTCAGGTGTAGGATGGGATTAATGGGGTTAGATGGATAAAGTATTTTATTATATCTTGGTTTATAAGTTTGCATTTATGGTGACACTCAAGACACTGTTAGTGTTAATTTATTGTTTTTGGAAATTATTTTCAATCTGCCATGGTATAATGCATTATCTTCGTGGTTATACTTGCGAAGCAATTGTACGAATGTATCGTGGTATGCATGTATAATACTATGTATTTTTTTTCCTGTAAATTCGGTAATGGGCCCGTGCTTTGTTCAAATAAATAAATAATCAATTTCAGAGAAATGTGAAAAACTTGTATGTTACAACACGCAATAGAAATTTTGAAGCAGTGCGTCTTGAGATAATCACATGTGCAAAAAACTTCCTTGAGAGAAGGTTGGATGTCGATCAGGATTTACAAGTAAAGGCAATTATAGATGTTGCCAATGCTGAAAATGCTGAATCAATGATCAAAACCGGTCGGCAAATTGTATCAGATATTTTTGGTGATAATTATGTTTCAGAATTTGTAGATGATGCTATTGGTTACTATTCATCATTTGGTGCTTCATCTTTTAAGCCGCATGAAAGCAATACTGCCAAGTTGTACTTATTGCTACAAAAAACAACACCGTCGTCTGTTTTAAACAAGCTGGTTCAAACATTTCTTATAACTTGTCCTCACAGCATGATCACGGAACGGGTAATTTCATGCCATACAGAATTAAAAAGCGACCTTCGATCATCTATGTCGAGAAATACTGTGAATGACCGATTATGCATTGCTTTAAATGCTATAGGTACCGCAAATTTTGATCCTCGGCCAGTGGTGGCTGATTTTCTTTCTTCAAAAACGAGACGATCGACTCTACCAGATGATGAACTTTACCGAAACAGGGAATTTGTAAAAAAGTTTTTTAACACTGAAAATAACTTGTGATTAGCTAATTTAACATCAATTGTTTTTTTTGTGATACTGAGTCGTTAATAAAACAAATGTCACTTATTTCAAATTGACAAAAGAGTGTATGTGCATTTTTAACGCATCAACATTTACATAAACAAAATCATGAACAATTTTTTATTGACAATTTAAATTAGACGTTTTGTCATTAGCCCATTCCTGGTTCAAATTAGCTTATTCCTTAGGCTTGTAATCTATGTTTTTACCGCAAGATTGAAGAATTGTATTCTTCCATGAAAAAAACTTCATTTTCATTAGAAAGTTGATGCAATATCTATTAGGCACCCGTGATTTGAAAAGAATTGATACTATTATTATCATTTCCAAAACTTTTAAAACTTTGTCACCTAGTGAAAATTTCTTAGACGAGACTCTGCTTCAGATTGCTAGCAATGACCAGATTATGCAACCTCTCACCACGGCAATGATGAGAGGAACAACAAAAAAATTTCAGACAGTACTAGAAAGCGATGAGCACCGCGTAGCCACAATTCTCCATCCGAGATTCAATTTGTCATTCTTACATGACGACCAAAGACGTATGCAAGCAAGGCATTTGTTGCTGACATTTGTGCAACAAGTTCAGCAAGAGGTAGCAAAATCAGCACAAGCACACGTACTATTTGAAAATGGAAAGATCTTCAGACAATGAAGATCTCTATAGCTTCTTTAAGACAACTGAACAGACTAGTATAGCAGTGGCAATGTCCGATAATGTAGTAATAACTAAATAATTGTTAAGTAATTATCATTTTTTAATTGTAGATTTTTTTTGTATAAAAAAGAATTTATAAAATCTTAACCTGTATATGCTAAACATGTATATGCAGATCTCTGGGTACCTGGCTTCTAAATCTGATGTCAACAGCCTATGATGTCATATCCTACTGATGTCATATCCTACTAATGTCATATCCTACTGTTGCGGAGGTATTCCTTAAAAGTAACGCCACACTACCAAGTTCAGCTGCTATTGAAGATTATTCAGCGTTGCTTCACAAATGTTCAGTGCGCGCCGCTGTCGGATGTTAGATGCCAGTGTTTCTTCAGTCTAGGATTAAATAAACATACTTCCTTTTCAGAAGTTTTTTTTACACGAGGCGCTATATTGTTTAAAGTTAAACTAACTATATAAGACTATGAAAATTATTACTGAATTTTCTGTAAAAATAATGATTCGACGTGTTTTGTTTTTTTAATTTATAAATTTCATTCTAGCAAATGTATGTGTTTGATTTTTTTAAAAGATTTTTAAACTAAGTTGTGCTTTTATGTTATTAGGAAGGCTTTAATTCTTGTCTTTTTTATATTTAAATTAATTTTTTTGAATTGTTTAGAAGTAATGACAGTAAATAAAATGGCTGGTGTGTTTAAGTTTTAATGCTGATTCAGAATTCTACCTGTCAAAAAGTGAATATAAAAATAGTTTTGAAAAGTTTAATTGCCTTTTTTTAGTTTAGTTAACTGTTTTCAAAAGTAAATTTACAATTAATAGTTAAACTACATATTTTAAGTTGCAAAATAGTTACAGTTTAACTACAAGTATTTAGTTAGTTGCCTATCACTGATATGATATAATCTCTGTACAGACCATTGAATTATATATAAGAATGGCTTTATAGTGTTGACCTTCTTCTCAAGGTCAGGAAACTTGGAAGCAAACTTTTTTAGCACCAAATTGTCAATGGGTTTTTCAGTTTTCCAATCTATATTTAGCTTCTTCCCTGTTTATGTGCCACCGGCAGCATTCTTGTAAACGTTTTTTTGCTGCTAAAATCATTCTACGGCAGTTTTAATCGATTTTTAACTTAATAATTTAACTGAATTATGTAAAATTTTTGGAATCATTTATTATTTGATCCATTTTGATTTTATAAAGTTCATTTGTTTAAAAGTTTTAAAAATGTTACATTGTGCCAGGAGACACCATGGAATTATATAACTGGAAGCGCCCTACCAGCGTTTTAACATTGAAAATTTTTTTCAACGGGCAAGTTACCTCTGGAAGCAAGTTCCTAAAAATTAATTATTCATGACCATTTTGGTTTATTTTTAGAAAAATCTGAGATTTAATTAGAAAAAACCTTGGCCTTCCCGAAGTTATGTTAATGACTCTGCCGATCTGCATTCAGCTCGTTTGTTAAAATTTATTTCGTTTTCAACATTCCGTGAAGTTTTAGGTTAATTTATAAGGTGTCGTATTTAATCGTTAAATAGATATTGCCATTTTTTTGGGGCATAAGCAAAATCGAAGATTTATAATAAGTTCGTTAGCGATCCTCATTTTTCTGAAATAAAGATTCCTTCATTCATTTTCCCAGCACCCACGAATCACGATGATTAGACTATTAGAGTGAGAATCATTCCTAACCTAAATTGAATTAAAATCTAGAAAACGAAAAGAAGTCGGTAAAAATTTTATTGTAAAAATGAAATGTTATTAATATTTAAAAAACTTAACTCATAATCAATTTATATTGTTATAAATAAATTAATCAACTAATAATTTTTGAATTGAGATGTAATTCCTGTGCATATGTCCTAAACTAGAATCTTTCAACACCCCAAAGCTTACAATACAAAGGAATATTTGCTTTCAACATAACATACCCAAACCAAATTTAATCACACAGAAGAGGTTTTTAAAATTTCTTTTGGTAGTAAAAGCAAACAATCTTTTTTTTCTGTTTTAACTTTAAATGCTATGATTTATATATTATTTATTAATATATTAAATTAATTATATAATAATTTGTTAAAATCAAATTTTTTAACTTAACTATTTCAACTGTAATTGACATTAATATATTAAAAAAATAATAGTTTAATTAATATTAAGCTAACATGAAATTCATTATGCTATTGATTTAATTAAATTTTATAAAACTGTTGATTTTTAACAGAATAGGTATGGAATGTTTAATAATTTTTAGTATAACATTACTATTTATAAAATAACTCTGAAGGTGCTAGATCATAAACATGTATATTTTTATATTTATGTGTAAATTGTTATATTTCTTGCTTGTAGATTATAAAACATCTATCTTGCTATAATTAGTAATTAACTTAACTCGTAGTTAGATCAGTCCTACTTTTTTTATTTCTAGATTTCGGTTTTGTTTATTTGTTGTATAACTGCAAAATGTTTGATTTACATAATTATAAATTTATCTTTCAACTATCTTGAAAAGTGAAATATATATATATATATATATATATATATATATATATATATATATATATATATATATAAAGATGAAACTAAGGTTGTAGAATTTGCTTCTGATGTAATCTATTAGAAGCACTGTACAAATTCAATAAAACAATTGATTTAATAAATTTAAATAGTATGCATTTTATTATTTAATTTACTTTTATTAAAACTGCATGTTGATAGAAAACTTTTTAGTTAAGTTAAAACGTCTTAATGTTGTACATGATGTTATTATTTTTTTTATTAATTCATAATAGTGGTTTGCATTCTGTACATCATTGAAATGATTTTCCATGTTAAATAAATCTTCGTTGACACATTGTGGGAATATGTTGCTTTCAATTACAAGTTTTTTCTTAAAACAATAATTATTTATTTTTAATAATCTTTCTGATTCTTGGCAGATCTGAAAATCATTAAAATTTATTTTTTTTACCAGAAAATAAATAAATGTATCGTTTTACTTTTAATACTCCTTTTGAGGGATATGTCAATTGTCCAAGCCAATTATGCACATTTTTCTGAAATTATTTTTAATTAAGTTTTAGTTTAGATATTGAGATATATAAAAAAAACCTTTGAGTTTTGTAAATGTAACACCATCTAAATTTTTCAAACTTAGTAAGTAGGCTTTCATTTCATAAAGTTTATCTAAAGTGGCTGTCAGGTTGCTCTTTGTAATGGATTGCTTCCATTCTCTATCTAGTATCAGTTTGCTGTTCAATATATGGAAAAGATCATTGATGTTTTTCACAAAAGCTATTGTTTCAAAAACGTCAGAAAAAAACATGAAATCCGTTTAAGAGTTCCAATGATTTAGCCGCAGAGCAACTAAAGACTCAAGATGCATATTTAACTTTCATCTTATGCTTCTCAAAATTTACACGATTTTTGGTTAATTTTTTTTTTAGTTTCATTTTGATTTGTTGCTGATAATTAACTAAGTTTACGATATGATTCCATTTGAATGGACTATTATTATAAAATATCATATAAGAATGAAACATATTCCTCATTAATTTCAGCATGTGGCATGCATCAAATATGATATATATTTTCTGGCCGGTTGTTGGGGACAAGAAACTTGTTTGCATGTTTGGAAATGTGAAAGAGCATCCAAGCAATCCTCATGCCGAAACGTTAGTGGCCAACCCATCCATTACCAGTGAAACAACCCTAAAAAATAAATATAATGTATAAAAATTTTAACATATCTTTAAGAAAAACAAATGTTATTCACCCTAACTCCGGCATTATGTAACTTATCAATGGCTTTCTCTATAAAATCTTTCAACTTGTGAGATGATAATTTATTTCTATAAAAATAAGCTATTTAATGCCTCCAAGCTTCTCTCAGACCAACAACATAAAAAACCAACACCTCTGAAGCAACTATGTCCTCATTCCCATCTCCATAGTTAACATATCCAATAAAGTCATCTTCACAAATAAACAATGCGTTTGATAATTTATGCTTAACATATAACATCAATAAAATTAAAAAAATTGAAGACAAATGCTTATAGTGAAATGGGAAACAAAAAAAATCAAGAAATAAATAAAACACACAAGGAATAAACTAGCATATGCTACCAAAATATGCTATATTTTAAATTCATAATTTTACAAACAAAATAAATTTTAAAAAACCTACCAATTTTCCTATTATACGTTATTTGAGGCTTTATTGTTATCGAATCAAGGATTAAAGAGCATTTGCAATATTTCATTTGCAGTACATATTTCTTTATATAGCAATATTAGTTTACAGAATATCATTATTAACAAAATTTTACTTGTTCAATGTTCTCGAGTGTGGCAGTGTTAGTCCACATTTTTTTAAAATTGGTATGCATGAGGACCATGAAAATGCAGCTGCATATAAAAGGTCTTGTAACTATCATTATATACTTTGTTAACTCTTTTTAAATGGTATGAGTTTTTTATCTAGAAGCCAAAAAAAAACAAAAAATTAATCAAAATTTCAATTCATTTTGCTATGGTTACATAACATAAAACGTTTGTATGTAGCTAATTCATTTTTTAATTTATTACATTCATTCATAAGTTTTCTTATTGTTGCCTGCAGCGTTGTGATTCTGGACTTTGATTGCCTTTGCTGTTGCTTGATCAGAGATGTGCATCCATTGAGCAAAACGTCTAAATATGATTAAAATTTGAAAGTAAAATAGCTGCATTTAAAATTTTTCATCATATATATATATATATATATATATATATTATATATATATAATATATATATATATATACCCAATAAATTAAAATAAAGAAACTCTTTGTATTCTGTATTTCTTATGACAAAAAGCCATTTTACAAAGGCATCCTAATAATAATAATAAACCCATAATATAAAAACAATATAAAAAATATTTGAATATTAATTAACGATAGTTAAAAAAATAAAAAGTCAAAAATTTAAAATAAAAATACAAAAAAGCAAAGCCTTTTTACTTCTACTAGTCTGGGCCTAGTGTCTCCTGGCACAATGTAACATTTTTAAAACTTTTAAACAAATGAACTTTATAAAATCAAAATGGATCAAATAATAAATGATTCCAAAAATTTTACATAATTCAGTTAAATTATTAAGTTAAAAATCGATTAAAACTGCCGTAGAATGATTTTAGCAGCAAAAAAACGTTTACAAGAATGCCGCCGGTGGCACATCAACTGGGAAGAAGCTAAATATAGATTGGAAAACTGAAAAACCCATTGACAATTTGGTGCTAAAAAAGTTTGCTTCCAAGTTTCCTGACCTTGAGAAGAAGGTCAACACTATAAAGCCATTCTTATATATAATTCAAATTTATATATTTGATCCATTTTGATTTTATAAAGTTCATTTGTTTAAAAGTTTTAAAAATGTTACATTGTGCCAGGAGACACTAGGCCCAGACTAGTAGAAGAAAAGAGGCTTTGCTTTTTTGTATTTTTATTTTAAATTTTTGACTTTTCATTTTTTTAACTATCGTTAATTAATGTTCAAATATTTTTTATATTGTTTTTATATTATGGGTTTATTATTATTATTAGGATGCCTTTGTTAAAACTTAAAATGGCTTTTTGCCATAAGAGATACAGAACAGTGTCGTCACTAGGGAGGTGCGGGGGGTGCGGACCGCACCGGGTGACACCCTCACAAGGGGTGACACCAAAATATCACTGTACATGTTTTTATGTCCCTCCTTGAAATTATTCTTATCATTGATTCAGCCTAACCCGCCCAGCGCCCAGAAATGTATTATGAATAAAATTTTTTTCGTTCAAATCATTTTTGTATTCGACGTTTTACCATTCGAATTCGACGTCCGAATTATTAAGCGCCGCGGCCGCGCACATTTTACTTGTTCGTGTCTAACATAACGTACAACAGTGTTTGTTTTGCCCACCCACTACAAGCGTGTGTTAGTCAAGTTAATTATTTAATTTTTAATCAATTTAATGATATACGACAACAATTCAAAGTAATTTCACAAAAGTTGATCCCTGATCCGTAAGTACAAATATAATTTGTTTTATTAGCATTTAAATAATTTTAAAATTTTTACAGTTAACGGTTAAATTTTAACCAACCAAATTTCAAATAACTTCATTTTATTTATTTATATTTATATATTTATTGTTGAAGGATATTATATCATGCCACGTAGAGGTGGAGTTCATACAACAAAAAGGCTAAGCAGATGTCAACAAAGAAAAGCCAAAATAAAGAAAGATAAAATACTATCTGCATTGCGCGGATCTATGCTGCAATATGTAAAGGGATCAGATGAGGCCCAGAGTTTTTCCAAAGACACAGTTCCTCAACCACACATTGATGAGACTAATTTATCTGATGCTGGTATGCATTCAGCAGAAGAAAACATTAATATAATAGAAGAAAATAGAGCAGAACAAGAAAAAGAAATAGATGAATTTGTAACAGAAGAGTGGACTGATAATAGTGACTCTAAATATGATACTGAAAATGAACCTACGGAGAAAAATTTGAATGTTTTGGATGATGCTTCTTATTGGAATATACCAATTCCAGATCAATTGCGCGTTCAATTCATCAAAAGAGGAAGTGCATATATCCAGAACAAATATGGGCCTTTCAGGATGTTGACAAGGCAAGATCTAAAAGCTAAAGGTGAGGTTCGCCAGCTATCCAAAGAGTGGTTTTATATGGTGATGCCAAATGGTGAGAAGGTGTTGCGAACATGGATAGTTTATTCTCCCGTCAGTGAGAAATTAAATTATTTTTGCTGCCGACTCTTTGCCGTTAATGCTACAGACACAACATCCAAATTTGTGACTGGGTTTCAGACATGGTGGAAAATGAGCCCGAAAGTGTCTAATCATGAGACATCCGATGCTCACTTGCATTGCTTTGAAAAATGGAAAACCTTGGAGGTGAGACTTAGAATGCACAAAACAATTGATGCAGAAAATATTGCCTTGATAGACATAGAGAAGAAAAAGTGGAGAGACGTCTTGCATAGGCTGCTCGATATTACATTATTTCTCGCCAAGCAAAATCTGGCTTTTCGGGGCCACAATGAAGAAGAATCTTCATTAAATAGAGGAAACTTTCTTGAAATGGTTGAGATGCTTTCTAAATATGACTCTGCTAAAAGAGCACCTATTAACATTAAAGCAAAGCACACATAAAACTAAAGCATCAGCATCTTATCTTGCACCAAATACTTAGAATGAGTTTATTCGTGTCCTAGCAAATCATGTGAAGGAGAAGCTTATCATGGATATAAAATCTGCCCGGTGTTTTGGTATCATGTTTGATAGCACATCTGACGCATTACACACTGACCAAATGTCTGAAATTATCAGATATGTGAAAATTCATAATAGAAAAGTTGAAGTAAGAGAAGTGTTTCTGGGATTTTTTCCTTTAAAAGAGAAAAAAGCTGCTGGTCTCAGTTCTGATATTCTCGAAAATTTGGAAAGTGATGGACTCGACTTTATGATGTACCGCGCTCAAGGTTACGACAATGCTGCGACTATGGCTGGAATCCATGGGGGTGTACAAGCCATTTTGAAAAGAAAGAACAGGAAAGCTATTTTTAATGGTTGTGTGGACCAGTCTCTTAACTTGTGTGGCCGACACTCTTTTGCTGAAAATGCTTCGTGCGTGACTTTTTTTTGGAACTCTTGAGACAATGTTTTCATTCTTTGCTGCTTCCACTCACCGAAGGAATGTTTTAATGAACCACACTGGAGTTTCATTCAAAAGATTATCAACAACACGCTGGAGTTCTCATCACGCAGCAGTAAAGGCTGTGAAAGAAAAATTCGATGAATGTGTGGCGGCAATAGAAGGTCTATGTGATCCAGGGGAAAATCTAGACACAAGAGGTACAGCCCGAGGTCTTTTACCTGCTATCTGCAATTTCACTTTTCTGTGCTACCTCTTCTTTTGGTGTGATGTACTTGAAGAAGTAAATCTAACGCAACTGTACCTTTAGACTAAGGGCTTAAGTCTTGACAAGGTGGTGACAAAGCTAGAGACACTAAGACTTTTTATGTATGAGAAGCGCAATCATCTTGTGAAGCAGGCAGTTGAACAGGCACTTATAAAATCAGACCAATATGGAATTTTAGTAGAGAGCAGACCCAGGTTCAAGAAGAGGATGGCAGGCGAGTGCGAGAGAGATGCTGGAAGCAGAAAGAAAACACGAGAGCGATGATCGTTTCCATTCTGAACTCCAGATCAGATCAAGAGCCATCAAGGAAGTAGCAGCCATGTTTGAGGTTGTTCAAGCCAAGAGTTTGATATCTGCTACTGAAGAAGAGTTATTGGTAAACATTCCAAAATTGACCACATTCTATGATGAGTTATCAGAGATAGAGCATTTATTAGAAATACCAAGACTGAGAAGACATCTGAAGGCAGCAATCTCCAGTTGAACATCATGTCCGTAGAATTCATATGTCGATCCAACTTCATTTTAAATGTTTCAACATTTTTGTCCGCATCCAAGCCGTTCCATAACTCAACCACCCTATTGGAAAAACAAAGTTTCCCATGATTTGTGTTAAAACTATGAGTAGACAACTTGAACGGATGACCCCTGGTACGATCATCGTTAGGTTTTTTTAACACAGGATAACACGATGATAATACGCTGTTCCTAGTTATGTTGAAAACTGTGATAAGATCACCTCTGATTCGTCTATACCTCAGTGTGGGAAGATTGAGGAGTCTTAATCTCTGGTCATAATTGAGTCCAATACAATCTTTCACCATTCTTGTGGCCCTCTTCTGAATCCGTTCAATATCTTCTATAACTTTCAAAGACCAGGGAAACCACACCGAAGCAGCATACTCTATCTTTGACCTGACAAGGGATTTATATAAGATTAAAAAAGTGGGTTTAGGTAATTTCATAAAATGTCTATTTATCAATCCTAGAGTTATATTACACTTATTAATTGAATTATAAACGTGTTTATGAAATTTCATGTCCGGTTCAAATATCACCCCCAAATCTTTAACAAATTCCACATTTTCAAGAAGTAAACCATTCATAGTATAAGATATCTTACCACATGCTCTACGCCCATAATTCATAACGACACATTTATCCACATTCACCCCAAGCTCCCATTTTACACGCCACCCATAAAAAACATCCAGATATGCCTGGAGGGCCTCCATATCATCATTAGAAGAGATACACTTGAACAATTTAGCGTCATCAGCATATAGATACATCCCAACATTAAAATCATTCTTACATTAATAAAAAATATCGTTCACATAAATAACAAACAAAATTAATCCCAACACATTGCCCTGTGGAACCCCACTAATCACTTTAAAATTATCAGACAGACTTCCATTCACACACACTGCAAATGTTCTACCACTAGGATAATCAGAAATCCAATCAACCACAATCCCATTCACACCATATTCGCATAATTTTTTAATTAACTTGTGATGAGCAACTTTATCGAATGCTTTCTCAAAGTCTGTATAAATCACATTAATTTACTTGCCTTCATCAATCGCAACACTCCAGTCATCTACCATTTTTAGCAACTGCATCGCAGCTGATTTATGTGGCATAAACCCAAACTGTCTAAAATCAAATAAATTATTGCTAATAAAATGAGACATAAGATTATCTTTGACCAATGTTTCCATCACCTTACAACAAACATAACAAAGAGATATTAGTCTATAATTTGTTACATTGCAGACATCTCCTTTTTTAAAAACTGGCACTATTATACTGTGTCTCCATTCATCAGGTATCGTACGAAGCTTTAATGACATATTAAATAAGCTGCATAAAAAATGTGCAATCTCTTCACTCCATTCATATAATACTCTGTTGAATAATTTGTCTGGCCCAGCTGATTTATACTTATTAATTTTTATAAGTTTAGATAAAACTTCCTTAACTGTAACAGTTATATCGTCCACCGATGAAATAAAATACCTACTACCCATATTAGTATCATTAACATCATTCACAGATAAATTGAATACACTATAAAAGTTTTGCCCAAATAAATTAGCCTTTTCAGTGTCATCGTAAACATTCAAAACCTTGCCCTGACCATCCAACTTATGAAGGACATCAATATCCCCTCTATTTTTTCTGGCTTTATTAATGTTCTGCCAGAACACTTTTGGGTTGTCTTTTATTTTTCTTGAAAAATTAATCATAAAATTAATATTAAATTGAAAAATATTTTTATTTTAATATCATTTTTTATATTCATTAAAGATTATACAACTTTTAGAAGTGACATATTTCTTCCATAATCTATTTTTATATTGAATCAGATTTATAAGGTTTCTGGGAAATTTTAATGCAAATCCATTATTGTGACACCCAACATCAATTAAAGGAATAAATTTATTTGTAGCATCGTTCAGTATAGTACAGAAGTACCTCCAGGCTTCATTGAGTTTCACAACATTATAAACTTGTTTAAATACACACATTTCTTTACTTAATTCAGTTCTGATATAAACTCTCATCTTATCATACTCACCTTTGTTAAAATTATATTTTTGCTTGGCACGTTTTATAACTAAATTCCAAGTATGTCTCAATATGAAAACCAGAACAATATGATCACTATTCCCAATTGGGGAGTAATAATCGATTTTGGCAACCACATCCTTGTCATGAACTAGAATCAAGTCCAATATATTGGATTTTTGTGAAGTACGAAACCTAGTAGCTTTAGAAATCAGCTGATGTAAATACAGATCCCTCATACAATTCAAAAACCTAGATTCCATGCTCCTAACACTTCCTGGTGTTGATACTAAGTCCCAGTCAATATTAGTAAATTTAAAAAAAAAAAAAATAGGTAAATTTTTAGTCCCTTAATTTTCGAAAACTTTTTCAATAGAACAAGTAAGTTACTATTGTTATTGAGATCAGAGTTAGGACTTCTGTAAACCAGAAGAAAATTTAGAGCTTCTGTATATCCCGATAATTGAACACAAATATATTTTTTAAATCTAACAGAAAGATCCATAGTACAAGAACTCAGGTACGACCGTGGATATATATAATATGGATATGGCAGAAGCGTTATATATACATACATTTTTCATATATATATAACATCAAGGTAAATCTGACAAATTTGATGCATAGAATAGCAATAATTGTTTAAAAGTGAATTTAAGTTAAAGGAAGTAATCAGTTTTTAACCGATCATCGTCTGTCATTTTCTTATTTGTTTAATTATTTTATATACGTTAAGTTTAACCATGCCCATGTGCTCAATGTCCAAATGTCATGGGTCTTATAAAGATATCGGCGTAACTTTACATAGGTATGTATAATTAATATAATAATAGTAAAATTTTAACATAAAATAGTTAAGCTTTTTTTACAATAATAAAACCAAACCAGACTACCAAAAGATGACAGTCAAAGAATACAGTGGGAAGGGAATATAAAAAATCACATTACAAATTTTTGTAGTAGAAAAAATATCTTCATCTGCAGTAGGCATTTTTTACAAGAATACTTTTACAAAGTAGGTTCTAAAATGTTGCTCAAAAAAACATCAGTTCCTACAGTATTTCCAAAGGTTTTGTTCTTTTTGTAACTAATAAAAAATTTCTAATTTAAATAGTTTTAAAAAAATTAAGCTAACATTAAGATTAACATTAAAAATTTAAAATAAAGAAATAACTAATTATTGGTGCATCATGAAAAATGAATCACTAATTAATTAATTGCAAGACACTAACATATTATAGTTAGTATATTAATTAGATATTTGTTCCTGCAAATCACACAATCAAGTGTATTGAATATTTATCATTTTCAGATTTTATCAAATGATCAAGTAGATACTCTATCTGAAATGCAATCACCAATAATGATGGAGAAAAAATCAACTGATGAACCAGTATGTTTGTTTGAATATAAAATTTACTTAGATTAATATATTACTGATTGCATGCGCTACAATTAATATTTATTTTTTTTATTTTATGTCAATAAGAAGATACACATATGTAAGTACATGTTCAAGGTATTTATTTCACAAAGTTTATGATGAATCTACCACACATACTTTGATGCATACATTCATTCATGTGTAATATTCAAACTTCAGATAGAAAATGTTGCATCTTTAGAAAATGTTGCAGTTCCATCAACATCAATTGTTAAATTGGTTTGTATGTATGATGGTTCATTTAATAAATAAAAAATAGTGAAAAATGTAATTTAGTATTTTAACACATGTTTCTATAACTATAACCAGAATTATAAATGATTGTTAAAATACTTAATATAAGTTGTTGAAAGGAAAATGAAAAATTTTACAGACTGGTATTGATGCATTGACACCTAGAAGCTTGAAAAGGAAAGCTAAAAAATTAGATATATTATTAAAAACTACCAGAAAAGTTCTATATAACTACAACAAAAAAATTAAAAGATTAAAAGTCAAACTTGAAGTATATAGAAATGAAATTAAGATGTTGAAAAAATACAACGATGAACTTACTTCAACATTACTTTCATATTCAGGTATGCTAATTATTAAACTTTAAAAATAATTTTTAGCAACAAACCTTTACGTATGCCACTTTTTTTAATTTTTAATATTGAATTGGCATTTCAGATATTCCAACAAAACTTTTCATGAAACCGAACAAAACCTATACTGAAGAACAAAAGCGTTTTGCATTGACATTACATTTGTACGGTGGAAAAAGCTACCAGTTTTTGAAATGTAAAGGATTACATCTGCCACATAAACGTACATTAGCACGGTAAGTTATTGTTTAATATTATATATATAATTACAAATTAAAAATTTAAGTATTTAAATGTATTAAGGTGGTTAGAATCTGTAGATGGAGGACCAGGCCTCAATCGTTCTATGTTGAATTTCCTGAAGAAAAAACACGAAACAGATGCAAAACAATTTACACACTGTTCTTTGATGATAGATAGTATGTCAATTCGGGAACAACTGATATATTTAAAACATAAAGGTGTCTATTCCGGTTATGAACATTTTGTTGGAGACTACACATCCAATGAATTGGCAACACAGGCCCTGGTTTTAATGATAGTTGGTACGTCAGGTTCATGGAAGTTTCCCCTTGCTTACTTTTTGTTCAAAAGCATGTCAGCAACTACGCAACAAGTTCTTGTATTGAACGCACTTGAAGCTTTGGAAAAGATTGGATTGAAAGTATAATTCTTGTTAAAACTTTTTACAATTTCTGTTTTGTTTTTTAGATTTTTTAAAGTTATTTTATCAATGTTACCTGAATGTTATTATTGTTCAAATACTGGTAGTGATGCTGGTGATGGATGGCTTACGAACAAACATTGTTATGTGCATAAAACTTGGATGTGTCTTTGATTTGCCTACCTTTGTCAAACCATCTTTTAAATTACCATCAATTAATAGAGAAATCTATGTAATATTTGATGCCTGTCACATGTTGAAACTTGTTCGTAACACATGGGCTGATAAAAAATTTTTAGAATCAAATGGTAGTTTAATTAGAGGGGATATTTTTGAAGAGACGTATTTAGATTCACAAATAATGACATCTAATACCATGTCCACTGTCATTGAAAATCCATCTAACACCATGTCCACTATCATCGACAGTGCAGTAGCGTATATTGCTGGATGGGTTGTTAGAAAAGTTGCCAAAACAATCGATTGTAACAAGTGTAGATTTACACTTATTGATATAAAAGGACAAGCTACCATGTTACACCAACAGCTTCTGATACTAAAAGACAATGGTGGTCTAGTTTTCCCATCCTGTGGTGTTGTTCAGGTCAGAAAATAATTTTTTTCCATGTTTATTTTTATTTGCATGCTGGAAAAATATTGATCTTTAATTTCTTCATTTTTATATAACATATTGCCTAATATATATTTTTTGACTAATTCATATTTGTCAATCAGATTTGCCGTGTCACCGAAAGACATTTGAAAATGGTGACAGACTGGTCTAAAATGAATAGAACAATTGTTGTATCAAGTGTTTTGAGTGAGTTGGCAAATAAAGATCTATTAAACCTTAAAGATCATATCATTGAAAGTGCAGATAATATAAACAATCATTTTTTTTCTTTATTGAGATTAATAACAAAAACATATATAGATGTTCGCTCTTTTCATTTGGCCAAAAACAATAGTCAGTTGAAAATTCGTTCAAAATATCATAAACTAATTCACTTTAAGGGCCAGTGAAATTATTAGCCGGGAATTAATTCTTGTGCCATATCCACTATATCCATGGGTACGACTTAACATAACAACAGACTCCTTTATATCCTTTTTTCATAAAGTTGACAGTCAAAAGCTTATATCCATCAATTACAAACTCTGAAAACAAGATATCCTCTAACAAATTTTTTGAATTAGTCCCAGTAAAGAGCATAATATCATAATCATATAAATTTACCAGAGCCTTTATTTCGTTAAGTTTATTTACCATACAGTCCACGTTAGAATATAGTATTTTTAAATCAACTATACTCTTTTTGCCAACAATTTTACAATGCGCATCTTTCCTGGAATACCCCTTACTCTGTATATGTATACCCCCGATTCAACCTTTTCTTTCTCTTTGGTCTCATCCACCAGTTCCTTTACTTGTGCCCTTTAATTTTTGGTCAGATCATGAGCTATACCTATGCCTTTATAGTTATTTCCTAATAAATTTAATTTATTTAAATTCTCCATTATCAAATTCTTAATCATCCTATCCTTAAATGACAATAATAGTGGCATGGAATCGAAAATAAACTCAAATTAGTTGCTTCTCGACAAAATTCTATTTCATTACTTCCAATTTCGAAATTTTGATAGAATTAATTTTTAGTTTTGACAGTTTTTGCCAAATTCCTATAAGTAGATTTGTCTTAATTTAATCTAAGGCAGTTGCTTGACATCCACGTTCTACTTTTATCAGACATTCAACAAGTTTTTCAACATTACTTGCTATTTTCTTGATGATATGACAATCCAAATGAACTTATAACGTCATATGATTTTTCTATTAATGCATTGACCCAATCATTGTGATTTGCTAGAGATAAACAACGTCTATACTTTCTTTCTTTACTTCGGCAATATCTTTTAGCAGTTCTGCATTCATTGTCAAACTAAGGATCAGTAAGATTACTTCTATAATCAACAACACAAAGAAGTGCAATTAAATCAGCAATTTTCTTTAGCTGCTCATTGAAAAGTTCAAATTCGTGATCTATGTCTTTACTCTGGCATGGCATAAAGAGTGGAGAATTCAAAACATGCATTTATAACATATCTTGATCAATTCGATTCCACAATCTGGTTAATCTATAAGTTTTCTGATGACACTCTCGTACCATTAGTATATTGATATGAATTAAACTATGATCTGAATAAACGCCGCTACGAAATATTTAACTATTTGAAACATGAAAATTGATTGAACTAGCAACTAAATCCAAAGTACCATCACAGACATGTGTCGGCTTGTTTATGAGGTTTATCAAGTGGAATTGTTCAAAAATCTCTAGCAAACTAACGGCATGACGATCATTCAATTTTTCGACATGAATGTCAAAATCGCCAGTCAACAAAATATTTGAACTTAAAATTGTAATGATCTCCAGAACACGCAAAATTTCATCAAAAAACAAGGCATTTACTTGAGCAGAGCCTGGTCGGTATAACGCCAATAAATATAATCTTTGTTATTTATAAACAATTTAAGAGCAACAGCCTCAAACGTAACCAAAACGGGTAATTCAATTACTTTATATCTGAAACTTGATCTAAATATAATATATTATTCCTCCATGAAATGGATCATTTAATCTAAGATAATCAACATAACGATATCCAGGTAGTGTAGATGATTTTACAGAAATATCTGGTGACCCATGCCATGCCTCTACCAGCACAAAAATGTCTAAGCCTTCATGGATTATATATATATATATATATACTCATAAAGCTTCTGAAATTATGTACCGTGGAAAATCCCTTCACCGCTCCTGATGGTTTACTGTATCGACAATTCGATGGCGTAGCGATGGGTTCTCCTCTTGGTCCGGTATTTGCCAAATCCTATATGGCCGATCTAGAGGCGAGAATATTTAATGATCCGGACAACAAACCCTTGATATACGCACGCTACGTGGATGATATATTCATCGTTAGTAAATCCATCGCATAGCATTGTAAATAGTGACAAAAGTTCATTTTCACAAAGTAAATATTTCCCTATATTGATCAACTTGCACTGATGATGATTCATTCGGAATCGAAATATGGCCTTATTTGCATCATGAATTCGGAAAATAAGTTTATTTTGAATTTTAATAAACTAAACGTTCACCAAAAAACTTTAGTGAGAAAAATCGAAAAAACGAACTGCAAACATATTAACGCCAATCATTCGGTAGAATTTATAGAATCTTAAAAAATTATGGTCTACTACCAACATATATATATATATATATATATATATATATATATATATATATATATATATATATATATATGTATATATATATATTTTGGTACGAGGTTTTCGCTTAAGCAAATTTCGTTAAAAACTGTTGCCCATTCAGCATTTATTAACTGTTTTTTAATCGATTCAACAGAACGCAGTTTTGCATAATCATATTTATTCAATAATTGTGTCATAACTAGGCTGACAGCTGTTTCGGCAAAGATGCCATCGTCGGAGCCTTGGGTAATTGAACAAAGTATATTAAATTGTAATTGTATTAAATCAATGCGTTAAATGTAATGTCAAATTGAAACAAAATGGAATAAAAGA